GTTATTTGTTAACTATATTATATGAGAATTTCTTACACATGTATGAGTGACGCATTTGACTTTTTTTTTTTTTTTTTTTTTTTTTTTTTTTTTTTTTTTTTTTTTTTTTTTTTTTTGGTTTTGTTTATATGTAGAATATATATATATATATATATATATACATATGTACGTTCACATATATTTATATACATGTATATGCATTATGAATATATATCCTTTTTACATGTGTTTTCCCATGCAGAAATTAAATGGTATGCATGTACGGGTATACGCATGTAAATATATGCATATAATACATGTATATAATATATGTATATAAATATGTATATATTATCTATATCACATGCATATAATATGTATGTAATATGTATATAATATATACATGTATATTTATATATATCCACATATAAGCAAGTTTGCACGCGACAGCGCTTATAATACATGAATACATATTTTTTTTTATGTTTCCATATCATTATACACAGATACATATGTAAATTTAAGGAAAAACATATACACCACATGAGTGATTGTACGGATGGATAATTTCTTATAGACCTACATGTACATACGCGTATATATATATATATATATATATATATATATATATATATATATATATATATATGTATATATGTACATATGAATATGCACACTTATATGAATCCAAGTGCGCACATCCCATTCGTGCATCTGCACATGTGAATACATACATAATTACACAAAATAATTACACATACATATAATAAATCTCATATTGAAACATAATAACACCCGTACCCTTGCATTCTATACACACTGAAACGTCGTTGTTGATTGAGGAAATTCTGTGCACCTTACACTTTTCTGCTTCAACTCCTGTAGTGCAAAAGCAGAAACATAGTAGCCAGAGCAAATACGGGGGCTAATGTAGTAGAAAAGTGCTACAGTGCTGCGTGTATATTTATAACAGATACATGTATATATGAAATTGTATATACGTATTGTAAGCACGTAAAGTCGGGCACACCTGATATATATATACATAATAGAAATTTTTCCATTTTTTGACTTTTTTTTCATATTTTTGCCACTCTTTTTTTTTTAACCCTTTTTTTAGCTCTTTTTTTTTTTTTTTTTTTTTTTTACGTTTTTTTAAATTTTTTTTTTACGTTTTTTTTAATTTTTTTTTTTTTTTTTTTTTTTTTTTTTTTTTTTTTTTTTTTTTTTTTTTTTTTTTTTTTTTTTTTTTTTTTTTTTTTTTTTTTTTTTTTTTTTTTTTAACCCTTTTTTTTTCGCATATTTTTCAACTTTTTTTTCATCAATTTTTAACTCTTTTTTCATGTAATTTTTAATATATGTGCTCCTCGTTTTCATTTTTTGAAAAATCTTTAATGCCTTAACATTTATTTTATTTATGCTTCGTCACAGAGGATACGTTAATATATTTTTTTTTTTTTTTTTTTTTCTTTTGAATGTATATTTTTATGAACCTTTTAAAGAAATAGGCACGGATTAATGCCACAGTTGCGCGTTAATTTTTTTGTTTACATGTTTGTAATATATGCAAATGTTTATGTGTATGTATTTGCATATATGTGTATCGAGACTAACTACACATATTTAAAAAAAAAAACAGAGTATATTTTAAATGCAAAAACAATAAAGTTTATACATATATGTG